AGAGGGGACCTGGGGGTACAGGGTGGAGCAGGGGGGGTACCTGGGGGTACAGGGTGGTGCAGGGGTTACCTGGGGGTACAGGGTGGAGCAGGGGGTACCTGGGGGTACAGGGTGATGCAGAGGGGACCTGGGGGTACAGGGTGGAGCAGGGGGGTACCTGGGGGTACAGGGTGGAGCAGGGGGTACCTGGGGGTACAGGGTGGTGCAGAGGGTACCTGGGGGTACAGGGTGGAGCAGGGGGTACCTGGGGGTACAGGGTGGTGCAGGGGGTACCTGGGGGTACAGGGTGGTGCAGGGGGTACCTGGGGGTACAGGGTGGAGCAGTGGGTACCTGGGGGTACAGGGTGGTGCAGGGGGTACCTGGGGGTACAGGGTGGAGCAGGGGGGTACCTGGGGTACAGGGTGGTGCAGGGGGTACAGGGTGGAGCAGGGGGTACCTGAGGGTACAGGGTGGATCAGAGCGTACCTGGGGGTACAGGGAGGAGCAGAGGGTACCTGGGGGTACAGGGAGGAGCAGGGGGTACCTGAGGGTACAGGGTGGAGCAGGGGGGTACCTGAGGGTACAGGGTGGAGCAGAGGGTACCTGGGGATACAGGGAGGAGCAGGGGGTACCTGAGGGTACAGGGTGGATCAGAGGGTACCTGGGGGTACAAGGTGGAGCAGGGGGTGCCTGGGGGTACAGGGAGGAGCAGGGGGTACCTGGGGGTATGGTACAATACCCACATACATGGGGCAACATTATAGGATGCCTCTGTACAAACCGTCAAGAAAGATCTACATCCATCCTCATATTACAGATAAGGAGGCAAGACAATCCACTGAAAATTTTCTAAGAATTTGCTGAAATTATATGAAATTTCTCCATACGGTGGCTGTCTCACGCAACACATCTGGCTCCAGCCTGCCTGTCACATGTGTGTGACACATCTGGCCCCAGCCTGCCTATCACATGTGTGTGACACATCTGGCTCCGGACAGCCTGTCACATGTGTGTGACACATCTGGCTCCAGCCTGCCTGTCACATGTGTGTGACACATCTGGCTCCAGCCTGCCTGTCACATGTGTGTGACACATCTGGCTCCAGCCTGCCTGTCACATGTGTGTGACACATCTGGCCCCAGCCTGCCTGTCACATGTGTGTGACACATCTGGCCCCAGCCTGCCTATCACATGTGTGTGACACATCTGGCCCCAGCCTGCCTATCACATGTGTGTGACACATCTAGCTCCAGCCTGCCTGTCACATGTGTGTGACACATCTGGCCCCAGCCTGCCTGTCACATGTGTGTGATACATCTGGCTCTGACCTGCCTGTCACACATGTGTGTGTGACACACCTGTCTCCGGCGTGCCTGTCACACGTGGCACGTGTGTAGCACGTGTAGGGTACGTGAGGGTGGATCACAAACTAGGGGGTGGGCCCAGGCGTGTAATAGGGAAGTAGGTGGGAATTACCATCTTGCTGCTTCACCACAGTTAATAGAGCGCTTTCGTGAACTGTCTTATGTTCAGTTTTATTGCCGGTGTTGGCGGGGGAGGTGTTAGTGATACTGTTCTTGTTGAGGTGTGTGTGTGTGTGTGTGTGTGTGTGTGTGTGTGTGTGTGTGTGTGTGTTTGTGTGTGTGTGTGTTTGTGTGTGTGTGTGTGTGTGTGTGTGTGTGTGTGTGTGTGTGTGTGTGTGTGTGTGTGTGTGTGTGTGTGGTGTGTGTGTGTGTGTGTGTGTGTGTGTGTGTGTGTGTGTGTGTGTGTGTGTGTGTGTGTGTGTGTGTGTGTGTGTGTGTGTGTGTGTGTGTGTGTGTGTGTGTGTGTGTGTGTGTGTGTGTGTGTGTGTGTGTGTGTGTGTGTGTGTGTATGTGTGTGTGTGTGTGTGTGTGTGTGTTCACCAAGTTGTATTCACCTAGTTGTGCTTGCAGGGGTTGAGCTTTGCTGTTTCGGCCCGCCTCTCAACTGTCAATCAACCGTTTACTAACTACTTTCCCCCCCCCACACACACACACAAACACACACAAGGATGAGAGGCAATGACGAACCAGGGAGACTCGACCTAGTCTTCACTCTGAACGACTCCGACATAAGAGAAATCGGTTTGAGGACCCAGTAGGAATGAGCGACCACAGTGTACTGGTGTTTGAGTACCTGATTGATGAAGGGTTATCGAGAAGGGATACCGAAACCAAAAGGTTAGCATACCGAAAGGGAAACTATGAGGAGATAAAAAAATTCGTAACAGATATAGCATGGGAAACAGAGCTCAGGGGAAAGACGGCCCAAGATATGATGGACTACATCACGCAGAAGTCCAAGGATGCAGCAAACAAGTTTGTCCCAGCCCAAAAGGAAAACAGTGAAATGAAGATGAGAAACCCATGGTTTAATCAGAGATGTAGGCTAGCTAAGCAGCAAAGTAAAAGGGCATGGAGAAACTATAGAAATAACAGGACACTGGAGAGCAGAGAAAGATACCAGAATGCCAGGAATGAATATGCCAGGATGTGAAGAGAGGCAGAAAGACAATACGAAAATGACATTGCAAGCAAGGCAAAGACTCAGCCTAAATTGCTGCACAGCCACATCAGGAGAAAAACAACAGTAAAGGATCAGGTTAGGAAATTAAGGATAGGGGCGGAAGGATTCACTACAAACGACAAGGAAGTGTGTGAGAAACTGAATAAGAAATTCCAGGAGGTCTTCACCTTAGAGCAAGGAGAAATTCCAGAGATAAGAGAGGGAATAGCTAACCAGGAACCACTGGAAGAGTTTGAGATTACCAGCGGGGAAGTAAGGAAGTGTTTACTAGAGTTGGATGTGACAAAGGCTATAGGCCCAGATGGACTCTCCCCTTGGATGCTAAAGGAAGGAGCAGAAGAACTGTGCCTACCACTCTCCATAGTGTATAACAAATCACTGGCAACAGGGAAACTGCCAGATATTTGGAAAGCAGCTACGTAGTCCCGATATACAAGAAAGGGGATAGACAGGAGGCACTGAACTACAGGCCAGTGTCCCTAACCTGCATACCATGCAAGCTGATGGAGAAGATTGTGCGAAGAAAGCTAGTGGAGTACCTGGAGCGAAAGAACTTTGTAACACAGCATCAACATGGGTTCAGGGATGGCAGGTCCCGCCTCACAGGGTTACTTGAATTCTACGACCAGGCAACAAAAATAAGGCAAGAAAGAGAAGGGTGGGCAGACTGCATATTTTTGGACTGTCAGAATGCCTTTGATACAGTACCACACAAGAGGCTAGTGAAAAAGCTGGAGATGCAGGCTGGAATGAAAGAGAAGGTACTCCGTTGGATACAGGAGTGCCTAAGCAACAGGAGACAACGAGTCTGTGTGAGGGGTGAGGTCTCAGATTGGCGAGACGTTACAAGTGGAGTCCCGCAGGGGTCAGTCCTTGGACCTATACTGTTTCTGATATATGTAAATGATCTCCCAGAGGGTATAGAATCGTTTCTCTCAATGTTTGCCGATGATGCAAAAATTATGAGGAGGCTTGAAACAGTGGATCATAGTAGGAGGCTACAAGATGACCTGGACAGAGTGAGTGAATGGTCCAACAAATGGCTGTTAAAGTTCAACCCGAGTAAATGCAAAGTAATGAAACTAGGCAGTGGAAACAGGAGGCCAGACACAGGATACAGAATAGGAGATGAAGTACTTAATGAAACAGACAGAGAGAAAGATCTAGGAGTTGATATCACACCAAACCTGTCTCCTGAAGCCCACATAAAAAGATAACGTCTGCGGCATATGCGAGGCTGGCTAACATCAGAACAGCCTTCAGGAACCTGTGTAAGGAATCATTCAGAATCTTGTACACCACATATGTAAGACCAATCCTGGAGTATGCGGCCCCAGCATGGAGCCCGTACCTTGTCAAGCACAAGACGAAGCTGGAAAACGTCCAAAGGTATGCCATTAGACTAGTCCCAGAACTAAGAGGCATGGGTTACGAGGAAAGGCTGCGGGAAATGCTCCTTACCACACTGGAAGACAGAAGAGTAAGGGGAGACATGATCACAACCTACAAAATCCCCAGGGGAATCGACCGGGTAAACAAGGATAAACTATTCAACACTGGTGGGACGCGAACAAGGGGACACAGGTGGAAACTGAGTACCCACATGAGCCACAGGGACGTTAGAAGGAACTTTTTCAGTGTCAGAGTAGTTAACGGATGGAATGCACTAGGAAGTGATGTGGTGGAGGCTGACTCCATACACAGTTTTAAATGTAGATATGATAAGGCCCAGTAGGCTTAGGAATCTGTACACCAGTTGATTGACAGTTGAGAGGCGGGACCAAAGAGCCAAAGCTCATCCCCCGCAAGCACAAATAGGTGAGTACACACGCACACACACACACACACCAGGAAGCGGCCGTGACAGCTGACTAACTCCCAGGTACCTATTTACTGCTAGGTAACAGAGGTAATCAGGGTGAAAGAAACTTTGCCCATTTTTTCTGCCTGGTGCGGGAATCGAGCCCGCGCCACAGAAATACGAGTCCTGCGCGCTATCCACCAGGCTACCAGGCCAACCCGCTCTCGCACACGACAGTACATATATGACTTATTGCTTATAGTCACTATTCGGCTGATTAATAAGTACCAAGCCCCCCAGGTGTACTCACCTAGTTGTGCTTGCGGGGGTTGAGCTCTGGCTCTTTGGTCCCGCCTCTCAACCGTCAATCAACAGGTGTACAGGTTCCTGAGAATTGATTTCCTGAGCACACACAGGTTCCAGGTGTGTGTGTGTGTGTGTGTGTGTGTGTGTGTGTGTGTGTGTGTGTGTGTGTGTGTGTGTGTGTGTGTGTGTGTGTGTACTTGTGTGTGTTTGTGTGTGTCTCTGCGGGTGCGTGAGCGTGTGTGTGTGTGTGCGGGTGTGTTTGTGTGTGTGTGTGCGTGAGCGTGTGTTTGTGTGCGTGCGTGCGTGTGCGTGCGCCAATGTTTCCAACATCCTGCGAACATTTACAAATTCTTAAACAAACCTAACTGCCTCGTTATTTCCTTTCCAAAAGTTATTTTGCAAGACAACTTGGAGAATTGTGTGGAGCTTAAACATCGCGGTGCCCCAAGACAGCCAGTCATCACCAGAGGTACCCCCAGAGAGCCAGTCATGACCTGAGGTGCCCCAAGAGAGCCAGTCATCACCTGAGGTGCCCCCAGAGAGCCAGTCATCACCTGAGGTGCCCCCAGAGAGCCAGTCATCACCTGAGGTGCCCCCAGAGAGCCAGTCATCACCTGAGGTGCCCCCAGAGAGCCAGTCATCACCTGAGGTGCCCCCAGAGAGCCAGTCATCACCTGAGGTGCCCCCAGACAGCCAGTCATCACCTGAGGTACCCCCAGAGAGCCAGTCATCACCTGAGGTGCCCCCAGAGAGCCAGTCATCACCTGAGGTGACCCCAGAGAGCCAGTCATCACCTGAGGTGCCCCCAGAGAGCCAGTCATCACCTGAGGTGCCCCCAGAGAGCCAGTCATCACCTGAGGTGACCCCAGAGAGACAGTCATCACCTGAGGTGCTCCCAGAGAGACAGTCATCACCTCAGGTGCCCCCAGACAGCCAGTCATCACCTGAGGTGCCCCCAGAGAGACAGTCATCACCTGAGGTGCTCCCAGAGAGACAGTCATCACCTCAGGTGCCCCCAGACAGCCAGTCATCACCTGAGGTGCCCCCAGAGAGCCAGTCATCACCTGAGGTGCCCCCAGAGAGCCAGTCATGACCTGAGGTGCCCCCAGAGAGCCAGTCATCACCTGAGGTGCCCCCAGAGAGCCAGTCATGACCTGAGGTGCCCCCAGAGAGCCAGTCATCACCTGAGGTGCCCCCAGAGAGCCAGTCATCACCTGAGGTGCCCCCAGAGAGCCAGTCATCACCTGAGGTGCCCCCAGAGAGCCAGTCATCACCTGAGGTGCCCCCAGAGAGCCAGTCATCACCTGAGGTGCCCCCAGAGAGCCAGTCATCACCTGAGGTGCCCCCAGAGAGCCAGTCATCACCTGAGGTGCCCCCAGAGAGCCAGTCATCACCTGAGGTGCCCCCAGACAGCCAGTCATGACCTGAGGTGCCCCCAGAGAGCCAGTCATGACCTGAGGTGCCCCCAGAGAGCCAGTCATCACCTCAGGTGCCCCCAGAGAGTCAGTCATGACCTGAGGTGCCCCCAGAGAGCCAGTCATCACCTGAGGTGCCCCCAGAGAGCCAGTCATCACCTCAGGTGCCCCAGAGAGCCAGTCATCACCTGAGGTGCCCCCAGAGAGCCAGTCATCACCTGAGGTGCCCCCAGAGAGCCAGTCATCACCTGAGGTGCCCCCAGAGAGCCAGTCATCACCGGAGGTGCCCCCAGAGAGCCAGTCATCACCTGAGGTGCCCCCAGAGAGCCAGTCATCACCTGAGGTGCCCCCAGAGAGCCAGTCATCACCTGAGGTGCCCCCAGAGAGCCAGTCATCACCTGAGGTGCCCCCAGAGAGCCAGTCATCACCTGAGGTGCCCCCAGAGAGCCAGTCATCACCTGAGGTGCCCCCAGACAGCCAGTCATGACCTGAGGTGCCCCCAGAGAGCCAGTCATGACCTGAGGTGCCCCCAGAGAGCCAGTCATCACCTCAGGTGCCCCCAGAGAGTCAGTCATGACCTGAGGTGCCCCCAGAGAGCCAGTCATCACCTGAGGTGCCCCCAGAGAGCCAGTCATCACCTCAGGTGCCCCAGAGAGCCAGTCATCACCTGAGGTGCCCCCAGAGAGCCAGTCATCACCTGAGGTGCCCCCAGAGAGCCAGTCATCACCGGAGGTGCCCCCAGAGAGCCAGTCATAACCTGAGGTGCCCCCAGAGAGCCAGTCATCACCTGAGGTGCCCCCAGAGAGCCAGTCATGACCTGAGGTGCCCCCAGAGAGACAGTCATCACCTGAGGTGCCCCCAGAGAGCCAGTCATCACCTGAGGTGCCCCCAGAGAGCCAGTCATCACCTGAGGTAGCCCCAGAGAGCCAGTCATCACCTGAGGTGCCCCCAGAGAGCCAGTCATGACCTGAGGTGCCCCCAGAGAGACAGTCATCACCTGAGGTGCCCCCAGAGAGCCAGTCATCACCTGAGGTGCCCCAGAGAGCCAGTCATCACCTGAGGTGCCCCCAGAGAGCCAATCATCTCCTGAGGTGCCCCCAGAGATCCAGTCATGACCTCAGGTGCCCCCAGAGAGCCAGTCATCACCTGAGGTGCCCCCAGAGAGCCAGTCATGACCTCAGGTGCCCCCAGAGAGCCAGTCATCATATCAGGTGCCCCCAGAGAGCCAGTCATCACCTGAGGTGCCCCCAGAGAGCCAGTCATGACCTGAGGTGCCCCCAGAGAGCCAGTCATCACCTGAGGTGCCCCCAGAGAGCCAGTCATCATCTGAGGTGCCCCCAGAGAGCCAGTCATCACCTGAGGTGCCCCCAGAGAGAGAGTCATGACCTGAGGTGCCCCCAGAGAGCCAGTCATGACCTGAGGTGCCCCCAGAGAGCCAGTCATGACCTGAGGTGCCCCCAGAGAGACAGTCATGACCTGAGGTGCCCCCAGAGAGCCAGTCATGACCTGAGGTGCCCCCAGAGAGCCAGTCATGACCTGAGGTGCCCCCAGAGAGACAGTCATGACCTGAGGTGCCCCCAGAGAGCCAGTCATGACCTGAGGTGCCCCCAGAGAGCCAGTCATGACCTGAGGTGCCCCCAGAGAGCCAGTCATGACCTGAGGTGCCCCCAGAGAGCCAGTCATGACCTGAGGTGCCCCCAGAGAGCCAGTCATGACCTGAGGTGCCCCCAGAGAGCCAGTCATGACCTGAGGTGCCCCCAGAGAGCCAGTCATGACCTGAGGTGCCCCCAGAGAGCCAGTCATGACCTGAGGTGCCCCCAGAGAGACAGTCATGACCTGAGGTGCCCCCAGAGAGCCAGTCATGACCTGAGGTGCCCCCAGAGAGCCAGTCATGACCTGAGGTGCCCCCAGAGAGCCAGTCATGACCTGAGGTGCCCCCAGAGAGCCAGTCATCACCTGAGGTGCCCCCAGAGAGCCAGTCATGACCTGAGGTGCCCCCTGAGAGCCAGTCATGACCTGAGGTGCCCCCAGAGAGCCAGTCATGACCTGAGGTGCCCCCAGAGAGACAGTCATGACCTGAGGTGCCCCCAGAGAGCCAGTCATGACCTGAGGTGCCCCCAGAGAGCCAGTCATCACCTGAGGTGCCCCCAGAGAGCCAGTCATCACCTGAGGTGCCCCCAGAGAGCCAGTCATCACCTGAGTTGCCCCCAGAGAGACAGTCATCACCTGAGGTGCCCCCAGAGAGCCAGTCATGGCCTGAGGTGCCCCCAGAGAGACAGCCATCACCTGAGGTGCCCCCAGAGAGCCAGTCATCACCTCAGGTGCCCCCAGAGAGCCAGTCATGACCTGAGGTGCCCCAGAGAGCCAGTCATCATATCAGGTGCCCCCAGAGAGCCAGTCATCACCTCAGGTGCCCCCAGACAGCCAATCATCACCTCAGGTGCCCCCAGAGAGCCAGTCATGACCTCAGGTGCCCCCAGAGAGCCAGTCATGACCTCAGGTGCCCCCAGAGAGCCAGTCATCACCTCAGGTGCCCCCAGAGAGCCAGTCATCACCTCAGGTGCTCCCAGAGAGCCAGTCATCACCTGAGGTGCCCCCAGAGAGCCAGTCATCACCTGAGGTGCCCCCAGAGAGCCAGTCATGACCTGAGGTGCCCCCAGAGAGCCAGTCATCACCTGAGGTGCCCCCAGAGAGCCAGTCATCATATCAGGTGCCCCCAGAGAGCCAGTCATCACCTGAGGTGTCCCCAGAGAGCCAGTCATCACCTGAGGTGCCCCCAGAGAGCCAGTCATGACCTGAGGTGCCCCCAGAGAGCCAGTCATCACCTGAGGTGCCCCCAGACAGCCAGTCATGACCTGAGGTGCCCCCAGAGAGCCAGTCATGACCTGAGGTGCCCCCAGAGAGCCAGTCATGAACTGAAGTGCCCCCAGAGAGCCAGTCATGACCTGAGGTACCCCCAGACAGCCAGTCATCATCTGAGGTGCCCCCAGAGAGCCAGTCATCACCTGAGGGGCCCCCAGAGAGCCAGTCATGACCTGAGGTGCCCCCAGAGAGCCAGACATGACCTGAGGTGCCCCCAGACAGCCAGTCATCACCTGAGGTGCCCCCAGAGAGCCAGTCATCACCTTCACAGTGGAAAACATCACTCCTCTCTCCGTAAGAACGACTGCCTTGGCTCCCTCTATAAATATTCTCTCTACAGTCTTAACAAAAATGAAGGACTTGATCATGTTATCTTTCGTCAAGGCTCACGAAGTGCGTTTCCAAACTCTCTAACTCAGCCTCAAGCCCCCAAATTTTCGTCACCGAAGCTGCCTATTTTCGCTACAGTGGTCGTGAGGTCTGTCAACCACAGCTACCAATTTGATCCAATTATGCAAAATTATCGAGACAGATCATTCCTGCTGCCCTCTGAACACCACCAATTTTGTGCTGAGAAAACTCTGCTTACCAAGTTCCGTTGTTGTTCATTACTTGGTCGATCATCACACCTCGTTGCTGCAGACACTCGGGCGCAATTGTACGTGCAATGATTTATGTAATGGGAGCGTCGCCCCTCAGAGCAGCAGACGGGTGCTAGGGGACGGTAGCTGCCCCTTGGAGCAGCAGACGGGTGCTAGAAGACAGTAGCTGCCCCCTGAAGCAGCAGACGGGTGCTGGAAGACAGTAGCTGCCCCCTGGCGCAGCAGACGGGTGCTGGAAGACAGTAGCTGCCCCCTGGAGCAGCAGACGGGTGCTAGGGGACGGTAGCTACCCCCTGGAGCAGCAGACGGGTGCTAGGGGACTTTAGCTGCCCCCTGGAGCAGCAGACGGGTGCTAGGGGACGGTAGCTGCCCCCTGGAGCAGCAGACGGGTGCTGGAAGACAGTAGCTGCCCCCTGGCGCAGCAGACGGGTGCTGGAAGACAGTAGCTGCCCCCTGGAGCAGCAGACGGGTGCTAGGGGACGGTAGCTACCCCCTGGAGCAGCAGACGGGTGCAAGGGGACGGTAGCTGCCCCCTGGAGCAGCAGACGGGTGCTAGGGGACGGTAGCTGCCCCCTGGAGCAGCAGACGGGTGCTAGGGGACAGTAGCCGCCCCCTGGAGCAGCAGACGGGTGCTAGGGGACGGTAGCTGCCCCCTGGAGCAGCAGACGGGTGCTAGGAGACAGTAGCTGCCCCCTGGAGCAGCAGACGGGTGCTAGGAGACAGTAGCTGCCCCCTGGAGCAGCAGACGGGTGCTGGAAGACAGTTGCTGCCCCTTGGAGCAGCAGACGGGTGCTAGGGGACAGTAGCCGCCCCCTGGAGCAGCAGACGGGTGCTAGGGGACGGTAGCTGCCCCCTGGAGCAGCAGACGGGTGCTAGGAGACAGTAGCTGCCCCCTGGAGCAGCAGACGGGTGCTAGGAGACAGTAGCTGCCCCCTGGAGCAGCAGACGGGTGCTGGAAGACAGTTGCTGCCCCTTGGAGCAGCAGACGGGTGCTGGAAGACAGTTGCTGCCCCTTGGAGCAGCAGACGGGTGCTGGAAGACAGTAGCTGCCCCATGGAGCAGCAGACGGGGGCTGGAAGACAGTAGCTGCTGCTCTGTTTTTTAACACCTGTGTGTCCAGTATTCTCCGGGAACATGTTAGTACTAAACACACTAGACTCTTAGCAGTTGTTTAGCGAAAATTATTAACAACTTATTAAGAAAATTTTCGTTACTGTTAAGTACCTTACATGTACAGTACCTTACATGTACACTACCTTACATGTACAGTACCTTACATGTAACTACCTTACATGTACACTACCTTACATGTACAGTACCTTACATGTACACTACCTTACATGTACAGTACCTTACATGTACACTACCTTACATGTACAGTACCTTACATGTACAGTACCTTACATGTACACTACCTTACATGTACAGTACCTTACATGTACAGTACCTTACATGTACACTACCTTACATGTACAGTACCTTACATGTACACTACCTTACATGTACAGTACCTTACATGTACACTACCTTACATGTACACTACCTTACATGTTCACTACCTTACATGTACACTACCTTACATGTACAGTACCTTACATGTACAGTACCTTACATGTACACTACCTTACATGTACACTACCTTACATGTACACCTACTTACATGTTTACATGTACACTTACATGTACACTACCTTACATGTACACTACCTTACATGTACATGTACCTTACATGTACACTACCTTACATGTACACTACCTTACATGTACACTACCTTACATGTACACTACTACTACATGTACACCACCTTACATGTACAGTACACTATACCTTACATGTACACTACCTTACATGTACACTACCTTACATGTACAGTACTTACATGTTCACATGTACACTACCTTACATGTACAGTACCTTACATGTATACACTACCTTACATGTACACTACCTTACATGTACACTACCTTACATGTACACTACCTTACATGTACAGTACCTTACATGTACACTACCTTACATGTACAGTACCTTACATGTACACTACCTTACATGTACAGTACCTTACATGTACACTACCTTACATGTACAGTACCTTACATGTACACTACTTACATGTACCTACCTTACATGTACAGTACCTTACATGTACACTACCTTACATGTACACTACCTTACATGTACACTACCTTACATGTACAGTACCTTACATGTACACTACCTTACATGTACAGTACCTTACATGTACACTACCTTACATGTACAGTACCTTACATGTACACTACCTTACATGTACACTACCTTACATGTACACTACCTTACATGTACACTACCTTACATGTACACTACCTTACATGTACACTACCTTACATGTACACTACCTTACATGTACACTACCTTACATGTACAGTACCTTACATGTACAGTACCTTACATGTACACTACCTTACATGTACACTACCGTTACATGTACACTACCTTACATGTACACTACCTTACATGTACACTACCTTACATGTACAGTACCTTACATGTACACTACCTTACACGTACCTTACATGTACACTACCTTACATGTACAATACCTTACATGTACAGTACCTTACATGTACAGTACCTTACATGTACACTACCTTACATGTACACTACCTTACATGTACACTACCTTACATGTACAGTACCTTATATGTACATGTACATGTACATACCTTACATGTACAGTACCTTACATGTACACTACCTTACATGTACACTACCTTACATGTACAGTACCTAGTACATGTACAGTACCTTACATGTACAGTACCTTACATGTACACTACCTTTTACATAACAGTAACTTACAGTACCTTACATGTACAGTACCTTACATGTACACTACCTTACATGTACACTACCTTACATGTACATACCTTACATGTACACTACCTTACATGTACAGTACCTTACATGTACACTACCTTACATGTACACTACCTTACATGTACACTACCTTACATGTGACACTACCTTACATGTACAGTCCTTACCTACAGTACCTACCTTACATGTACACTACCAGTACCTTACATGTACAGTACCTTACATGTACACTACCTTACATGTACACTACCTTACATGTACACTACCTTACATGTACACATGTACACTACCTTACATTACATGTACACTACCTTACATGTACACTACCTTACATGTACACTACCTTACATGTACAGTACCTTACATGTACAGTACCTTACATGTACACTACCTTACATGTACAGTACCTTACATGTACAGTACCTTACATGTACACTACCTTACACTGTACACTACTTACATGTACAGTACCTTACATGTACACTACCTTACATGTACCTACTACCTTACATGTACACTACCTTACATGTACACTACCTTACATGTACACTACCTTACATGTACACTACCTTACATGTACACTACCTTACATGTACACTACCTTATATGTACACTACCTTACATGTACACTACCTTACATGTACACTACCTTACATGTACACTACCTTACATGTACACTACCTTACATGTACAGTACCTTACATGTACACTACCTTACATGTACATGTACCTTACATGTACACTACCTTACATGTACAGTACCTTACATGTACACTACCTTACATGTACACTACCTTACATGTACAGTACCTTACATGTACACTACCTTACATGTACACTACCTTACATGTACACTACCTTACATGTACAGTACCTTACATGTACACTACCTTACATGTACACTACCTTACATGTACAGTACCTTACATGTACACTACCTTACAATGTACACTACCTTACATGTACACTACCTTACATGTACACTACCTTACATGTACAGTACCTTACATGTACACTACCTTACATGTACACTACCTTACATACCTTACATGTACACTACCTTACATGTACACTACCTTACATGTACACTACCTTACATGTACAGTACCTTACATGTACACTACCTTACATGTACACTACCTTACATGTACACTACCTTACATGTACACTACCTTACATGTACAGTACCTTACATGTACACTACCTTACATGTACAGTACCTTACATGTACACTACCTTACATGTACAGTACCTTACATGTACAGTACCTTACATGTACACTACCTTACATGTACAGTACCTTACATGTACACTACCTTACATGTACCTTACCTTACATGTACACTACCTTACATGTACACTACCTTACATGTACACTACCTTACATGTACACTACCTTACATGTTACCTTACATGTACAGTACCTTACATGTACACTACCTTACATGTACACTACCTTACATGTACACTACCTTACATGTACACTACCTTACATGTACACTACCTTACATGTACAGTACCTTACATGTACACTACCTTACATGTACAGTACCTTACATGTACACTACCTTACATGTACACTACCTTACATGTACACTACCTTACATGTACACTACCTTACATGTACACTACCTTACATGTACAGTACCTTACATGTACACTACCTTACATGTACACTACCTTACATGTACAGTACCTTACATGTACACTACCTTACATGTACACTACCTTACATGTACACTACCTTACATGTACACTACCTTACATGTAC